TTTGAAATCCATAAATGCCTAATTGCAATCCTTAGACTAAATGAAAGCTGATGTTGATAACTTCAACAACACTCACAATGCTACATTATGATTAAAAATATGATCAATAAAATCTACAAGTTTGTCATGATTAATTTGCAAACCTCTATAAAAAATACAATACCTAAAGTAAGTATTTATGAAATCAATAGTCATCTATAACATATCACAAAGAATTTTATCCATCATTTGCTGGAAAGTCACTATAGTGAGAAGAGCAAATCATCATGCTGAGCTGCCAAGTTGTTCTGATGCTAGAAGACTAATAGTAGAAACAAGCAAGCTAGGTAGCTCTCACATGCTACAAAGCTAATAGATTCTATGGACATGCAAGTAACCTTCATTTCCAGCAGCAAAAGCAGAAGTGATGAGCAAGCACAAGGTAAAGCTCCACAAGACACAGTGTGAGGAGTTATTGTCGATTACTGTTACCATGAACACAATTATGCTTGGAATCCTGATCCACATTTGCAAGGGGAGTACATCACAACCAAAAATGTGATATAGACAAAGGTTATGACAAGTAAATCAACAGTTTTTTTGCTGATCTCTGTCCCAACACAAGACATCGCAATATGAAACATTGCCTCCAAATATGTTGAGAGAAGAGCTGGCAGTCCAGCATTTCTGATGAGATCCAGATCTTCGAGCGATGTTACTGCACCAGCATATGTAACTGGGAGTTACACCAATAGTCACTCACAACTAAGCATGAAGAGTCCAAGATGATATGTACTGGAGACCAAGATGTTGACAAGCTCCTCATTGATTCCCAGCCTGGTGTGGCGGTTCCAAGATCCACCTCATGGACAAAAAACTTGCGATTGCGCCAAACCAGAGTTTCTATCAATGATTGGCAGATCACTAAACTTTTTGCCACCAGTCAGTATACTCCATCCTGACAAGACTTTTTCTTTTAGATATGTTACTACAAGGAATTTACTCGCCTTCTTGCTGCAACTCAGGTCCACTCTTCCAACCTAGGACGATATAAAACACTGGCAATCACATGACGCGCTCCAGCATCGAGTTAAGACTTCGTGTTCCACAAGTTGACACCACCACCGATCTGCAAGCCAGGAGAAGATCAATGTAATAGAAAGAAAAATTTGCTAAACATTACTTGCCCAATAGTGCCGTGAGCGCTGCTTTCAAGCTTAAAGAATCTCCCCGGTTTTGAACTGGATTGCAATTCACATGGGAGAATTCCAGCCGATCGTCAAGCTGTGCGGTTTCACCCCTGCATACAATGTAAGGGTTCTTTATGGAGTGTAGAGATAATACAATGAGTAAGGAAGCAACTAATGGGGTCTACTCTGATGGATTCATCGCAGTCTTCAGTGGTTGTGAATTTTGAGTGAGAGAAATCGGCCGCCAAGTTTGTTGGAATGTACGTAGGGGTGATCTTCCCTGCGAACATGTGATCATAGCAAGGAGTTCAAATGGCATTGCAGCAGTAGGATCAGAATTTAACATTGTAAATTATTTCCATGTCTTATGTCATGTTATGTTCTTTCCTGGCCATGTTATGTTCTTTGAGAGTTCACAACTAAAGATGACTCCACCTTAATAGTGCCTGGCCAGTTCTAATAAGACCTGGCCAAATTGCAATAGGCACTAGGCTGTTCCAGCCATGGTTCTTGGCACTCAAACAGCGAAGTTGCAAATGTTTTGGCACTGGTTGGTATTGCCAAATAGACCAGCCTGGGTTGTAAACGAAAATCTCGGTTCTTGGCCTTGAATTGTCCAGCCACCTTGGCCAGTCTTTGCGGGGCAGGCAAATCCAAGAAATGTTTTACAATGAGTGTGTTCTTGGACCTGTGGAAGTGAAAAAAAACTTGTTTAGTTGAAGTTCTCAAAGAACATAACATAGCTAGGGAAGAACATAACATGGCCTAGCCTTGAAAAGAAATACAAAAAACATCCAACCAAAAATCGTGGAAAACACGCACAGAACAGAGCTCTATCGAGCCCACAAGTGTTTGTTTGATCCATCACATGGTCTGTAAATCCAGCTCAAACAGTAAGAAACTATCAAGATTCTAGAGAAGAAAACTGCTACCTTCATTTCCAGCAGCAAAAGCAGCAGTGATGAGAAGGCACGATAGGAGCAATGCAAGCAGAAGCTTTTGAGAAGGAGCCATTTCTCCAGAACAGGAGCAAAAGGAATGAGAAAACAAAAGGGGCAGCCATAGGTAAAGCTCCACGAGCACAGACTCACACAGAAGCTCCCACCGACTTCTAGAATGCGAAGTGTTGGTCACTGAATGGTCATAGCTACCGGCAGTGATTACCGTTGCCATGAACACAATTTAGGGCTGATCAAAAGACGACGATGCTAGGAATCCCGATCCAAATTCGCCAGCTAGAAAATCCCAAGAGTACATCAGAAACAAAAAAGTGAGATTAGACAAGGTTAAGACAAGTAAATCAGCATTTTTTTTGCTGATCTCTGTGCCAATTCAAGACATCGCAATATGAAACATTGCCTCCAAATATGTCGAGAGCAGAGCCAACAGTCACGTCTACAACGCCTCGCCCAGCATTTTTGATGAGATCCAGACCTTCGAGCGATGTTACTCCACCAGCATACGTAACCCGGATCTACATCAATACTCACTCACAACTAAGACACCAAGATCATGAAGAGTCCAAGATGATACGTACTGGAGACCATTGGCCCAAGATCTTGACGTCGATTCCCAGCCTGGAGTAGCAGTGGTAGCGATAAGATTCCAGCTTAAACTATTCTCACTACTTGTCTTACCGCTTTCCTTCAACGTCCACCACATGGACAAGAAACTCGTCGTCTGATTGCACCAAACTGGCTAGAGTTTCTTCAGTGATAGACAGATCGCTAAACTTTTGCCACCGGTCGGTCAGGACCATGTATACTCCATCCTGGCAAAAGTTTCATGTGTTACAAGCTATCCCCCTTCTTTCTGCAACTCAGGTCCAAAACGAGCCTCTTCCGGCCAACAAGGCGTACTAGCTGCTGGAGCCTTTCAGTGTCGACCTTGCCGTCCTTAAACACGAACTAGAAAAACCAAAGTTGGAGTTATTCCCTCATAAGACTGATATAAAACACTCACCGAGGTGACAATCACATGACTCGCTCCAGATAAGACTTTGTGTTCCCTAAGTTGACACCACCACCGATCTGTAAGCCACCTGAAATTTAGCAGAAACGAGAGCTGTCAAAATCTAGAAACAAATACTTGCCCGGATACGCTTCCAGTGCCGTGAGCGCTGATCACGTGTCCGCCGGGAAGATCATCGCGGCGATACATTCCAGCAAACTCGGCAGCCGATTTCTCCGACTCGAAATTCACAACCAGCGAAGACTGCGACGAATCCAGCAGAGTAGATCCCACGATTTGCTTCACCTTTCCCTACAAAAAAACGCACACATCCAACATTGGATCTCTCTCTCTCTCTCTCTCTCTCTCTCTCTCTCTCTCTCTCTAAAACATAACTTGTAACATATGAAATTTTTGCCAGGATGGAGTGTGCATAGTCATGACGAGCGGTGGCAAAAGTTTGGACGTCGAAGGAAAGTGGCAAGACAAGTAGTTGAATCGTTTCATCTTGCCGAGCTGCACATAGCCAGTGATCATCTCATTCTACACTCATTGATCGATCGGGGAATGGAGATCGATCGATCAATCAAAGAGGTTAATCACTCATAACTTACACACCAAGAGAGTCCAAGATGATCCGTCCTGGAGACCATTGGCCCAAGATTTTGACAAGATCCTCATCGAATCCCAGCTGCGAGAGCTTGAAGCTTTTCACAGACCGGAGTGCATGCAAACGAGACGACCGAGACAAGCACTTCCGGGTGTGGTAAGCAGCGAGTTTCGTTCCTTTCTTCGTTTTTTTCCTTGGTTTAAGTATAAATTTCATGGATTTTTTCTCTCAGTCTCGCTGGTTTTGGAGGTGGGAGCGTTGTCCCGCTTAAATGGCAATCCACAGTTTGAGAGGAGTATGCGCAGTACTAGTGAACTGAACTTACTGGGAACGAACCTTGACATAACTGAAGATTTGTTCGATCGCATATTCTGGAACGCAGAGAGAGTTCAGTAGCTTTGGTTCTGATCTCCAGCATGGATGTAAAGCGGATTTGAGTCACTGAAGGCAGAAGCTTGCCGGCTGAGAAAGAATCCAAGAGCTCCAAATTTCCTTTAGCTCCAATCTAAACTCGCCTCAAGATGTTCGTCTTTTGCTGATATCTATTCTGACTTCAGCATAGAGAACGTGTGTTTCATTGTAGATGATTCCAACGATGGTGGTGAAACCATGGTGATCAACGTTAAGGTGCTACTACTGCCACTGGAGTAAAAGTTTGTGCGAGCTTTTGTGTGAGTTCGTGCTCCTGGATCTTTATCTATGGGAGATTGCCCCCTTTGTTTGCTCAATCTATTCTCTTTTCTCTTGGCTCTCCAGAAATTATGGCTCCTACTCGAAAGCTTGTGCTTGCATCGCTCCTCTCATGCCTGGTCATCACTGCGGCTTTTGCCGCTGCGGTTTTCTTTAGTTCTCTCTCCAAAATCTCGATAGTTTCTGTGTCCACACCAGCGACGACCATGGCGATCCATCAGCAAACTACAGTGCTCCATAGTAGAACTCTCTGTGTGTTTTCCATGACGTTTTTTCTGTGGATCTTAGCCTTCCTTTACACGGCTAGGCCATGTTTCTAGGCCATGTTTTGTTCTTTGAACTTAAGCTTCACAAAGTGGTCAAGAAATGGATGATTCTACTCTGTTGGATTCGTCACAGTCTTCGCTGGTTGTTCTCACAATTTTTAGATCTTGAAAAACGCTGTTTTCTGCTAGATTTCAAGTGGCTTGCAGGTTGGTGGTGGTATAAACTTGGGGAACGCGAAGTCCTATCTCGATACTGGAGCGGGTCATGTGTTGTCACCTCGGTAAGTGTTTTACATTAGTCTTGGAATTTAACTTTTAACATTGTGTGTGTGAGACTAAGTCTTGCTCTGGCATTCTCTCGAGAGCAAGGAGTGCGATGCGATCGTCTGGATGGCAATGGTGCCGGGTTTCGCTCACAAGGGACTCCTCTTGGAAACTCGAGTTTGGTGCCCGGAAGAGGCTCATCGCTTCTTGGAGGTGGACGTTCCAGAGATAGGCCGCAAGGAGCGCTGTGCACGCCATCTTGCTCTCGTGAGGCATTCGATCGACAATAAACTGTGGATTTTCAAGATGGTTTATAGATGCGAGCATATGGATCATTGTCGCCCAAGAGATCTCGTTGCGGTGAGCCATCTCTTGGAAGGAATCTAGTGCCTCGTCCAAATGCCCATTCGAGGCATAAGCGCACATCATGGAGTTCCAAGCCACCACGTCCTTGTTTGGCAGTCTCTCAAACAAATCTTTAGCCTCTTCCACGCAGCCATTAGATGCATAGCCGTCTATCATAGCCATACATGCCACCTCATTAAGATCCGGGGCTTCTTCAAAGAGACTCTTTGCTTGCTCCATATGCCCTCCTTGGGCATATGCCGTAATCATGGTCGTCCATGTTACTAGGGCATTCTATCATAGCTTCATCTAGCCGCTGGTTCTGGCAGTGGCCTTGGATCATGGCCGTCCACAGCAGGATATCGAACACCTCACCCGCGTGCGAGAGATGCCCATGATAGGCATATGCCACGATCATGGCGGTGCGTTCTACTATGGGAGGGACTCACGCTTTTAGCCATTTTGCTGTTGCACAAATCCTCCACTGGTCTCATGGAGCTCAAGGGAGGGGTGTTTTATTCACTAGAGATATCTTACAGGTATAAACTTCTCTTGTTTACAAACTTTGTTTTTGTTCTGTTTTCCTCACTCCATGTTTGATTTGTAGGTGGGAATGGACAACAAAACAGTGAGCATAATGAGATCGTATCCAAACTATATACCACTCTCGTCCATGTTTGATTTGTAGGTGGGGATGGACAACAAAATAGTGAGCATAATGACATCGTACCACTCTTGTCAAGCCACACTAAAAGGATAGGCCAGGTGATTGAGCCATGGGATTTTGGGAGGCTCTATGTTGCGTTTCAGGACAGAGAGGATGACACTGCTTAAGCATCACAATTATCGATTGACTCTCAAGTAATGAATCAGACTGAAACTTGAGATGTTTTTCTGATTATGATTTGCCATAACATTGTTTCCAAAGTTAAATTGGACATTTGTTTTTGTGAGGGAGACAATGCCACAATCAATTTAGAGTGAGCAGTGTTACAGCATACACAGTGGATACATGAGTTTCTTTTTACAAGATCTTTTCTCTAACTTTTAAGCTTCTTCAATGTTTGTTTTACATTTTCAACTCTTGCAATTTTCTTAAGCAGATTGCTTATTGTCTTTAATTCATCATATTTATGCCCTTTCTTGTTTCTGAATGACTAGGCTACAAACAAAAGGATTCTAGCTTTTTTCCATGATTACCATGTGTTTGAGATCCTGCCCTAATCTTGAAAGATCTTTCACAACTTTTCTCCCTCTGACTTCCTTGGGCGAGCATGAATCTTTGTAAAGGCAATGGGTGAAGAGATTCCCAGCTAAGTCAAACTTATCCAATATCTTGTCTGCATAAAAACCACAATCTTGTATATCTGACTCATCTCATTTAGAAATGTATCCACACTCAACCGCTTTGCAACAAGGTAATACTTTAGTGGAAGAGTTTTCCTATTGAAGAGCTTGAAGGACACTATGGCCTTGTGGGCATCTCATCCATGTCTAACACAAGTGTGGGTTTTTCCTCCACAACTGGTGGTAGTAGTGGGGAATTGTGTGTCACCTTTACCTTTTTATTCTTTACTTTGGTTGCCATGTCAAGCGTTGTAAAACTCTAATCTCCATATTCTCTCACCCTCTTTATGGCTTTGATAAAAAAGAAAGAAAGAATGCAAGCCCTAATTGTAAAGTTAAATACATTTTACTAAATATACCATAATTCAGCACATAGAAATTTGATTATGACACCAACCCTAGCGCCAAGAGCCTCTTAGTAGCTCAAGCTCCTTGTGGATTTTCTGGCAAGCCACCAACAGCAAGACCCAAGTAATACTGTTGGGCTCAAAAGGCATGTTGTGGATGAACTCCTTGGCCTTGTCTAGCTCTCTTGCAAACACATTAACAAGCCCACACTAGTGTTGTCCTGTGGGCTCAACTCCTTAGTTCCGGATCATCAACTAGAAATAGTCCCAAGGGATTTTCACTGGACTCAAAATAGTAAGAAACTATCAAGATTCTAGAGAAGAAAACTGCTATCTCAACTAAGTACTATACTTATCATGAAATCTGCATCTCTAAATTTTAATTTAAATCAATAGTTTTGTGTGTTTATAGATCCACACTCAACTTTAAGAGAAGAAACTTTCAACAAAATTTAAATGGTTTTTAAAAAACGTTAGAACCACTCCCACTATATTGCTCAATTGCTTGTAATTGTGTCATTTTGGATGACTGCTAAACCCTCTACTCTCTCTTCATTTTCTTTTATCTCTTGCTTAAAAATTCATGAATAATCCTGTCATGGCTACATAAATGAAAAAAATTTCTCTAAACCTGCAGTGCTGGCCATAAGAAATTTGTAATGTTAGATTTTGGATTGCTATTGTTGCAGATTATAAGCATTTCTAAAACATTATAAGATATCTATGTCAATGGGCTATCAACTTTCTTTAATTTTTTCCATTTCTTACAAAATAAATAATTCATAAAAAATAAACTATAACCATATAATACATTTGATTATAGAATGAGATTTAAATATACTATCATTATAAATCTTTGGACTCTTGAGAAATAAATGGGAATAAAATAGGCACTAGAGGTTTTTTTATCAAACAATTACCCCTTTTCAGTTGGATTATAGGGAGAGAGATAAAGTGTGCTATAAATAATAATTTCTAGTTTTATTTAGGAAGTTAAAAATAAATATTCATAATATCTTAATTATTAAATACAGATATAATATCTTAAATTAAATCTGGATTAAATATAATTATATTGAAAAACTAATTACAAAAAATTGAGAACATTGATATCCTTAGATTGGTATTTAGAACATTTTTTTTCTATTAGTCCAAGATTATATATGCCACAATATGCACTCTGATATTGTTATAACTCTCTTTCTAGACTAGGCCAGAAATATTACAAGGTTCTTGAGGACCACCCTAATTCTTTGCTACATTAGAAAAGAAAGGCCAAAGTTTAGAGGTTTGAAAAGTTTAACAGTAAAAAATCACAATCGTTAGATTAAGGAATGGCCTAGAACATGCCTAAATATTCTAGATGTATTGCTTACCAAGTTTAAAGCAAACAAAAAAAGATTGTAGTCATTTAGGAAAATAAATATTTATATAAAATATCATGAAATACCTTTGTCATTTGTTAAAAAAGAAAAAAGCTTACACATATTTCACTCACAAAATATCAGGGAATACAAAGAAAGATCATAGCTTAGGAAAAACAAAGAATGATCTCTTCTAAGGCCTGTGGTGAGGATGTATCATGCTGGACAAGTAACTTCCAAGACTGCTTTCCGAGCTGGAAGGCCATAAGAACTCTCAGCTCACGTGGTCTCGCGGTAGACTTCCACTCCACTCCATGCAGAGAGCGGCGCAGGCTGCTTGATATCGAAGAACACAATGTAGGGACGAATCTGGGCGCATGGGCAAGAGGACAAGGAAGAGAACAAGCACGATGATCGCTTCCAATGACCGTCATAGTGGGAAATTGAGCTTGCGTCTCGCTCGCGCGCTCTCTCTCTCTCTCTCTCTCTCTAAAAAGAGAGCTCTTTCGCTAAAAATAAAAGAGAGCTTGTGTGTGTCTCTCTCTCTATGGGGACAAGACTGTTGGAGCCAAAGGGATCTCCTTAGCCTTCTGGAGAACCAAGCAGTGTGCCCATCTATCTCCAACGAATGGAGGAGCTGAGAACATCACAAGTTCAAGGGAGTAGGTAGGTAAAAATACTGGTTTTTCTTGTGCTCCAAAAGACCTCAAAAACATGTATTATTGTTGGAGTGAAGGACAGTTGCATCAAAGTGATTGGAAATGGAACAAATACAATCTTTCCAATCCAGCTCTGTGTGCTTGACATTTTCTCACACCCATCCAAGCATCCAGCCCCTGCCACTACGAAAGAGTGAATGCATACATACTACAAAGATTTGTGGCCGGTCCACACGGATTTGTGGGCTCGTGCGTTCACTGAATTGACAAGTTCCAACGGAAACAGGACAAACAAAAAAACTACATAATTCAAAGAAGAAGAAAATAATTCATACGCATGCATGAGAGATGTTAATGCAATTGAAAATTTTCCTTCTGGTGATCGTCACCTGGGGCCATTTGTTTCGGTGAAAGCAGCCCTTTCAGGAAGATTAAGATCAAAGTTGCAAAGCTTTTTAGTGTGGACAAAGGATGTCTAAGAGCAAAACCTTGAGTGGCTGAGCTCGTGACATTCAAAACGATCGGTATATACTTCTATTATATACATTACAGAACTGTGAGCCTGGCTAGTCAAGGTGGAAGATTGAAAGCTCAGAATTCGTGCAGGCCATTGTCAATCAGTAGTGTTTTTTTTTTTTTTTTTTGTGGTAGGCAAACTCATCAAAGTTGTGGTCCGTTTTACTACTTTGAATAGGAAGAGAATGGAGTACTCTAGATTCATTTTCTCTACGGGAAATGGTACATGCAGCGCAGAAGAATCCTTGACAAAGAAACTCGAGATGTATAGATTATATATATAAAAAATATGATATATCCAAATAATATAATATAATTAACAACATTGAGAGCGATCTCTCTTCGCTTTCCTTGCTCCCTGCGAGAGAGCGAGAGATGCTGCCCGAGACATTAATGTTATCTTTCTTGTGAGTCGAATATGCCGGTAGTCAAAAAAGGAATAATCTCTTCCCGGGCTGAGCACTGCATTGTCCCTCGTGTGGGCAAATGCGTGAAGCTTTTGTTTTCTCGTCAGTTTCAAAATCGCTGGGGTGAAACAAACGAGTAGCGCCTATCCGACACACCACCCACGCCCTCAGGCGCCACTGAAATCGTTTGAGAATTACTCCCGGACAAACGCAAAAGATTTGGCTGCCCTAAATCGCAGCTGACACGCTGCCAATGGACAGCGTCCACGTGTTGCGTTAGCACCACGTGGCGTAACGCTTCTGTCCAGGTCATTGCAATGGAATGGATGAGTTTTTTGTTTTTTCGCATTTAAGGTAGTGGAGGAGGTAACCGAAAGAGCTGGGATTCTGAGAGCTGCAGTCAGCCACCTTTGTTTTCCTTTTTTCTTTCTCAATCTTGCAATCCATTCCATTGCAGAGCCTCTGGAGAAAAATTTTGACAAATAAATTAGTATTTTATGGACTTTTTTGTGATTTTCAAGCTGGTACTTTGGACTGGCAGAAGCATGGCTTCCCTCTATTTCTTCTTCACTGGTACCTATAACTACATTGCCAGTGTCAAAAAAGTTGAAAAAGTATGACTCCTGGGGAAAACATATTCATAGTCTGAACGCTTGCATGCATGCTGCATGCAAAGTGGTTGAATTGAATTTTTTGCAGCCGGTTTTGACAAATCTACCTAGTCAAGAGTCAAGTCAGTTTGACGGGACCACTGTTGTCAATGCCCTAGGCTTTTCCTTTGTTCCCATTATGCATTCACACAGAATGGCCCATGCATTACGCAAAAACGCATGGTTTTAATTCTAGAACAACAAGTTGCTTGAGGAAATTGACCCGGATGGAAACAAGTCCACATCCCTGGTTGTTGACAATCCATTGTAGCGCCAAATAATATATATACGCAAGCAACTCGACGCAAAGGATGGACGACAGCAAAACGAATGACTTAGCCCCGGTGTGTGAATTTGCTGCAGGTGCCGGGTCCTTCTCTGCGGATGGACCAAAGCGACGGTGACAAACAAAAAGACATTGTCAATCGACCTCTCCGAAAGCTCAAAACAACAACAAAAAAAGGAAGAACGAGAAAAAGAAAACAAAGAAAAAAAGTTGCAGTGGAAGTATATCAAAATCGATTTCGCTCATCTGCGTTGTAGAGGGGAGGAGGGTCCGGAGAAGGAGTCGTAATCGCGCTTTGCAAGTCGTTGTTTTGGATGTGAGCCCGTCCGATGATCGATGTTTGAGCAACCGCTAGGCCCTCTCCTCTCTCTCCGTTCCATTTCTCTCTTGCTTAAAAATCCATGAAGGATCCCGTCATGGATCTCAATCTCGCTACAAAGAAAGAAGAAAATCTCTCCAAACCCGCTGCGCTGGCTATAAGAAATTTGTAACGTGAGATTTTGGTGACAGATTATAAGCATTTCTAAAACGTTACAAAACAGGCAAGTCAACGGGGCCGTCACCTTTCTTCGATTTTTTTCATTTCTGAAAAAATAGACAATGGAAACTGGTTCGCTCTCTAGCTAGGGTTGACCACACAAGAATATGCGTTGCCGTGGGAGGCGAATATGCGGCTGGCAGCCACAAACCACGAGCGACCGTTTGTGTCTTAAGCGGTGATGTGGGGCGGGCTTGCTCTGATAATGAGCGGCCGCGATCAATGCAGCAGATTAGTTGCTGCGAGGAAGGCAATGACGGGACGGGACGGCAAAGTGACGTGTACGACATGAATGGAAGGATGTCGTTGAAAACGAAGGGTAGGTTGGGGGGTTTGGCCGGTTGGTTAAAATGTTAAAGGTGGTTGGATTATATCGTAAAAACCCAGGTTGCTTTATGATAAACCGCGTGTTTAGTTTAGACGTATAAAAGTTGCATTTTCTTTTTCGAAAAAATCAATTTTGTGCAGTGGATTTTCTTTCATGAAAAGAATTAATTTGTTTTTCTTCTTCTCCGCGGGCGAGCAAAAGAGTTTGTGTGCTACAAAATCTCCTGGGTGGTGATTTCTTGGGTGGTGATTTTTTGAGAGGCGAGAGGAGGACGAGAGAGGAGAGATGAGCGATGGCGACGATTTTTTGTCGCTTGGGGGAGGATTCGGCAAGGGAAAACCATCCGCGGCGCTGCTGGGCTTTGGGAAGATTCCACTCTTTCCCGGGATGAGCTCTCCTCGATCCACAGGGGGGCATGGCGGAAGAAGAATTGGAGACGAGGGAATGGAGGAGGAGGATGATCGCCGACGAGTGGTTTTAGGACGGCTAGACGAGGAGGTAGTCCTAGATCGTGATCGCGGCGATGGTGGGAGTGGGAATGGATCGAGGGAGCTCGCGGAGGAGGAGGATGACGACGATGAGATGAAGGAGTCGACCAACGAGAACGATGGGGCGGCGGGCGCCTCGTCGTCGCCCAGCAGCAGCAGTGCGAATCTCCTGGAGATCGACAATGGCGGCAGCGGTGGCGCCGCAGCCGGGAAGAGCGATCTCAGTGGCGGCGGCGGCGCGCAATCCAAGCATTGCCCGCGTGGGCATTGGCGGCCGGGCGAGGACGACAAGCTCAAGGAGCTCGTCGCGCTCCACGGCCCACAGAACTGGAACATGATCGCGGAGAAGCTCCAGGGGCGATCAGGTAAAAGACGAGGAAATTGAAAGAGTCTAGACATAAAAAATGGAGAGAGAGAGGGAGAGAGAGAGAGAGAGATCTAGCGAGCGAGTAGGATAGTAATCCTCGTCCTTCCTTCGTTCTTTCCCAGGTTCTTGGGTTTTCTTGTTTGGCATGGCTTGGCTTGTTTGTTCTTGGGTGTCTCTTTCCCCCCGGCGCGCTTGATCCGCCCGCCACGGATTTTGGGACGCGGTAAAGCTGCCCATGTCCCCAAAATCGCTCTTTTCCCGGCGCATTGTTTTGCTCGCTCGCAATCGCCGGAAAGATCATTCCTTTTCTTCCAATCTCTTTTCTTTCTCTCCTTGTCTCATCTGATCCCCTGGAGTTTTATCGCGATCGATATCCCCGATGACCATCGTCGTCTCACACGATCATCGCGATTTTTCTTTCCAGGCAAGAGCTGCAGGCTGCGGTGGTTCAATCAGCTCGACCCGCGGATCAACCGTCAGCCGTTCACGGAGGAGGAGGAGGAGCGGCTGCTGGCGGCGCACAGATTCCACGGCAACAAGTGGGCGATGATCGCGCGGCTCTTCCCGGGAAGAACCGACAATGCAGTCAAGAACCACTGGCACGTCGTCATGGCCAGGAAGTACCGCGAGCGGACGCGGACATACGGTCGATCGCCCAACGCCGCCTCCACCAGGAAGAACACCGTGACCACCGCCGTGAAATCCGATCATCCCGCGCCACCATCGCAGCAGCTCGATCACCACAATTTGCTGCTAAACAGGGGATCCACGCCGGTGCTGCTGCCGTCCAAGCGGAGCCTGGTGGACGCGGAGGATCGCCCAACAAGCAGCTCGGCAACAGCGGCGGCGGCGGCGGCGTGGATGGATAATCTCCATCATCGCGCGAGCAATTTGATGGGATTCAATCCGGGGAGGGTCCCCTTCTTCCCGGGCAGGGATCAAGCTCCATGCACGACGACGACCAGCAGCAGCAGTGGCCCCAATACGTTAAGACCAGGTAAGCTCTCCTCTAGAAGTTCCATATCCACGAGTGTGTGTGTTCTTATTCTCTCATCCAAATCGCATGCTCTAATGTCTGGATCTACATCATGTTCTGATATATATCGTGTGATGCCGTCAGGAACTTTGCTGGCCCCGTTTCTTGGAGGAGGATCAGCTCCGAGCTTCGCGGAGGGGTTTTATGGCCGCCACCACCACCATGAGCAAAATCATCGAAGCCAGCAAAATGGTGGCGGGCAAAGCAACTTACGCGACGCCTTGAGCGGCACCACGAGCAGTACCACGGATTTCACGTCCACAGACAATGCTACCGTGAAGAACAGCAGCAATGCGATTAGAAGCCGTGGCCATGCAAACGAGCCGCCCAGCGGCAATCTCGCCAGTGACCTCCAGCTCGAGCTGTGGAAGAAGACGCAGCAGCAATTCCAGCACCAGGCTCATCTCTACCGTCTCGATCAACAGCAGCAGCAACTCAGCGCGTCCGACGGTGCGATTTCGTGCATCAGCGTGGAGCAGTCTTCCCAGGACGTCGGCGACGAAGATCACAACAAGCCCGCCCAGGATTTCATAGATTTCCTGGGTGTCGGCGCCTGATCGTCGATCATCAAGACAAGATCCATCGCAGAAAAGAGAAAACAATCGAGAGTTTCAAAGCGAAACTTTTGTCGCTTGCTTGTTTCGTTTTTTCCCTGTCTATAAGAAAAAGAAACCCCGATAGAAGTGTAAGCTTACTAAGATCAAGTTCCACTTATCCAAGGCTCTAGGATCTTATAAGTTCATAGTCAAACTGATCAATCCAAAAGTTCCAACTTATCCATACAAGTCGGGCGGGTTCAAACTGATCGATCCAAAAGTCCTACGCTATCCATCTCTCTCTTCTCAATCCCTGGATGGACAGAAGCTTGGACTGGATTTCACATCACTTTGTTCCTCTCGCTCGACAAGCAAGCAGAGCGTATGCAGGCCTAGGTAGCTTGCAGCAATCCATTCAAGTTCCTGCGAGATTTCCACTCACGTTTGCTTGCTGGGCTTTGCATTGCTTTGCTCGCTCGCTTGTGCTCGCTTGCTCACTCGCGCTTACCTGTGTGTAACATTAGCAGTAAAGAGAAAGTGTGCGAGTGCTTAACAACGACCCGGCAGGCCACAGTGTGGCCATGATGATGAAAACGCCTACGCTGCGTTTCTGCCAGGCATGTCATAGTGACATGGCCACAAATAACTTCCAACGCAATTGTGAGAGAGCATGTCATACCCGAGGGACCATAAATTCGCATCCAGGATTCTTTGGTTTAAAAGCCTGCTGTGCTCGAGCGAGAGAGAGAGAGCCAAGCCGAGACGAACCAAAAGAAAACTATAAACAAAGACACAACGGTAAGAGCATGGATGGAAACGAAGCGAAAGAAAGCAGTACCGTTTTGCCAGGAGAGTGAAGACAATCCTCTGTTGTTCGACTGCTGCGCGCTCCGCTGCTGCTGCTGCTGCTGCTGCTCCAGACTGCGTTTTGTTGTTAGCAATTTGCAGCGCCCTGGCTCGGCATTTATGGTGCTGGATTTCAAGGATCCTCCTTTGTTTGTTGCTGCTTCATGGTGGTTTCATCATTGAGCCTGCGCGCTCGAGGACCTGGCTGGCTGCCGCTGGAAGCAGTAGTGGAAGTGTAGAATCCGAAATGGAGTACACCACCAGGAGTAAAAACAAGGCGCGACTTTGACACCGAGGTCCCCTTAGTGGGACACTAAGTATGCGAAAGCAACAGGAGTCAGATAGATTAAAAACGCGAGATAAAAGCAAAAGAGTAGTAGTAGCATACTGACTAGCAGTAGAACATGACCTTCTTAACCTTGTCCTTCAACGCGGGCAGCGGCCGGATGGAGCCATCCTGGCAATTACCAGCTCGGGGAGCAGTGTTCCGGTGGACGGAGCCAGCCTCGGACGCGTCCGGCTCCATGTAGAATCTCGCGCGGAACGCAGCCAGGTGAGCGTAGTATGCAGGTGGTACTGAAAGAAAAGGACGATTGCTTTGTGCTTTAGTTGTCAAAGCCTATGGGAAAGAGCTATGGTCTTTACCTATCGAGACTGAGCGTGTGCAGCGAGCGTAAGTGTAGCACAGGCTGTTGGTGAGGGACTGCAAGCCATCGGCAGTGAACTTGTTCTCGTCCCAAAGTACGTGATAGTGTGCTGGTCTGCTTGTTCCCTGTAACATAGTCTCGTCGTATGAGCAAAGCTACAAAGGCCAGGGCTCCATCAAGTTACCTGAATGCCGCCATGGCTGCAAAGGTAGAAGTCAAACTCCGTTGGATGGCAAATCTTCGAATCCACCACAGTGCCTGTCAAGGAAAACGGTCTCTCATTAGTTATCTAAATTCGCCACTTATTAACGGCAACAGCACCTGGCAGGATATTTCCACTCTTATCAGTGGTTCTTGTATCGTCGTGATCGTTAGCAAATAGCCGGGTGTGGTGCCGTTTCTGGACCACAACGAACGTCACGAGAGGCTGATAGTTCGGCTCGAGTGACGCGCAAGCCTGTCCAAAACGAAGAGCTGAATCAGTCAATGTGCCAAGTCTTTCCATACTATACCTTTCTAATTGCATCCAGCTCGTGAAGGAGAACTTGGTAGAACTGTCCTTCGCTCACACCATCTCTGTAGAAGATGATTCTTCCAGGTTTGTATCCAGAGGCACTTCGGAAAGAAATTAAAAGCTCTCTAAAGTTTGCGTATGTTAGCACAATAAGTAAAACAAAAAACTCACCGCTACTAACCTTATCATACCGCCATTCATGGTTCCCTTCTGAGGATCAACCCATGTTTTATACAAATCTTGGATCAACTCTTGTCTGTGAGCTTGAGCGCACACTAGACCTGCGTATTTCGTGACTTCTGGCCAATCCTGAGAAGCGACAACCGGTAACAGGCAGCTTATTTAGAGACACACGAAAAGAAAAATCGTACACTTACCGCTGCAATCGAGGGACTCGAATCTTCTCCAGGATGAGGATGCGTAACATCCGCTCCAAATATAATTGTTGGCGTATCACTTACTAAAGGAAGCCTCCGAGATAGTGCATCCACCAAGACAGTGTTTCTGCCTCCGACCTTACAACAAACTTGTTGAGCTTATTCACGAACATCGCGCATGAAGCGCCCTACCTTGGCATTGATTTTCAACGCAACATTAGCAAGACACTGCTTTCCTCTCTTAAAGACGTGCTTTGTCAAGAAGCATTGAGAAACCAATCCCAGGTCTGTTTCGCAAATTCGTTTCAAGTCGCCTGGAATAAAACTTATCAGGAAATCTGTAAAAAACCAAGTCTCTTACCATAAAGTGAGCCATTGTTGTCAGGTAATATGGCAATCAGTAACTCTAATTCCTTTCCTTTGACCTTGCTTTGAACTTCACGATATACCGACTTCAGAGCACGTTCTACCTGGTCTGGGCGTGCAGCATGAACTGGAATGATAGGTTCAGCAGCAAACGCCTGCATGTCATATACGATTAGTAAACTGAAGATCATTCTGAAAGCCGTACCATTCCGGAAATAAGACACATCTGAGCAAGGTCGTTACAAAATCCCCGAGCTATATTATCTTGAACAGTACGAGAGAAATTGACGCATGCCCAGTAGTTCACTGTCCCTCCATCGACCATTTTCTGGAGACATATGAATTTAAAAGAACAGTTTTCTTCCAAGCACGCTTACCTTGTTCATCATATGCCAGGTCCCGTCTTGAGGCAAGCAATCCTTTTCTCTACCCGTTTCATGATATTTCAGCTGCAAACCCGCATTTTTTCAGAACATTGTATGACAACAAAAGAGAAGAAACACAAACCCGTGGGGCAGGCAGTATTCTAGCTTCCACGAGAGCCAGTCTGTCACTGATACGTATCCCAAACTCCTGGGCGTATGGGTCTTGATTATATGCATTATGATAAACAGTCTAGCACAAAACATAAGAACAGTTATAAAAATAGAGACAAAAACGGGAAAAGATTCTTATCCTACTTGCAAAATATCGAGTTCTCTTTCCCTGGGCCGTTGGCATGTTACTTTTAGAAGGGCTGTCACTTGACGCTCGTTGAGACGTTTAGTATACCTTTGTCCTTCCACAATCTTGCAGACCTGTTAACCAGCCAAAACTGAACTTAGTTCGTTGCATGCCTACGAAAACTGCACACCTCCATTGGCAGATAATTTGGTCTTTCTTGATTTCCAACTTGTAAACAAGGTAAAGATGGGCTTCGTATAGTGTAGTGATATGTATCTCGGAAATACTCCATTACCGATTTCATTGTACCTCTATCATCAACAGGAAACCTGCAAACACAAAATAAGACACATCACAAACAATCAGAAACACTTACATTAGTTCTTGAGTAGGCTGAGAAGTTAAGCCAGAAATCCTGTATTTTCGTCGCATGGTTCCGCGATGTGTAACTTCCACTTTGACCCCTCTCAGAGCTTTTTCGATCTGGCACAGAAAATCAGATCTATCTTAAAATCGCTCTTCGCAAACCAAGCTGGGACTTACCTTGATGCGGTCAGCGTCCGAAAGTGGCCTGCTTACGTCCTTGTTAAGGAGTTTGCCAACAAAGTCCACCACGCGCAGCGGCTCAATGAAAGCAGTAAATGACATGTCTTCAACAAAAGATCAGAACGCATACCATCACATTTCATAATCCTTACCAATATTCAGAGAAAGACCCATTTGCGTGGGCCTTATACTCTGGTAGAACCCTCGCCAGCTTTCTAAGCCGTCACCGAGGGATTGTGTACGTCCTAAGTCTGGTGAATAAAACGATCGTCCAACAGGCGAATACCTGGAAGAACTCAAAAGAAACACATAAAAACCCGATACCAAAGAAAAGAGGAGCGAACCTATGGGTAGGAAGCTCTCGCAGCACTATGTCCAGCACTTGCAAGGCCTCTTGAGGAGCATCTGCTTGCCTCCCGGCCAGAAACTGGCCAAGATGATGCAGATCAGCACGAGCAGCGAACTTGATGACCACCTTGAACTGCCGATCTCTCCTGAAAGATATTTTATGCTTTTCTTCAGTATGCTGTAAAGTCGAGAAAAGAAAAGCTAAGCTACACTCACCTCGGTGTACCACATCCATCATCTTCCTCCGGCAGACTTACCTGAAAGTCCTTATAATGGAAGGGTAAAGGCCCAGCAGTGTACAGGCTTTTCCGGCCATCATACACTGGGAGCCTGTGACCCAAACTCGAATCCCTGTGAAACTTAACGAGCTGCTCCATGACCGCTCGATTCACACCACGCGATATCACCTCGGGAGTGATCGTCACCTGCGCAAGCAAAACAAGCCAATTGGATGCAAACACTAGCTCGTGACAAGAAGAAACTTACATCATAGTGGTGTAGATCCTTATCTGGTAGCTCTGCAAAGAAGTGATTCGCCTTGACAATGCACTTAACCCCCGTTTGGCTGCGTCCGGGCCTCAGCGGAAATCTCAAGGCCTTGCTAGACGCTGGAGGAGCTACGACGCTCGGCTGCGGTGGCGCTGGTTGCGCAGGAACTGGAACTTCCACACCCAATCCAGAAAATTGCTCTACCACTGCGCTCACTGCTGGAGCTTGTCGCGGCTGCTGCTGCCCATGATATCCTCCCGTTCCTCCTCCTCCACGGCCACTACTTGATTGACTATACTGACCTCCACTCCTTCCACCACTAGTTCCTCCTACTTGGTAATGCTGCGAGTATTGTGGATGCCTGGCCATGGCTAAAGCCCCTTGTGAAGCTTCGGTGGTGGAGCTGGAGCTCGCGGCGGCACGGGGCGGCGGCTGTGGAGAAGCTCCGCTCGACGAAGGTGGAGGAGATCCTTTCTCATCCTCTCTGGGCGTCTTTCTCCTCCTTGGCATGGCCGATCAGCTCCCGGAATGTGGAAGCTCTCGCGTTACCTGCGGTCAGCAAGAAATTCAGACAAAACTCCTGGCGATGTGGATAGGGGAGGGCTTTGATGGAGGGATTGAGCGGAATGCAAGTCGGGGCGAGCTAGGAATCTGAGGCGCTGGCTCGGAATGGAGACACGAAGACAGGACGAGGAGCAGAGGAGGGGAAAGATCGCTGGCGCGTCGCAAGTTAAGCAAGAACCTCTTGAGATCACCCCAAGCAAAGATGCGCTATGAATTCCACAGAAAATGTGGGAATCATCAAGCTTGAATATACCCATTTGTGATTTACTTTCCACGTTGAAGGTCCACCGAAAGCCATGTTTGCTTTAGGTTCCTTCTCTCGTTGTCTCACCTCTTGTACGAAGGCATTTGACGATCGCGTGATACGGTGCCCGGCCCAGGACGCGCACTTAGCAAAGATGCGAGCTCCACTTCGTTGGAGAAGATTCGGCGATGCTGGAGAAGCGATCAGATCAGTGCTTTATTCATTCTAGGATCCAAGCCGCATTTTTCTGTACAGCTTTTCCTGCATTTTGAATCAAGTTTGAGTGATTGATGGACTTGAAAAGCAGATGAAGATATACCAGAAAGGCACCTTAGGTAAGAGCCCAGGAATCGGACGAGTGAAAGGCTGAGCGAAGGCTAGCAGCCACCCAAGCTCTCCATGTAAAACCTGCTTGCCGCACAGAATTTTAAGCATCCTGACCATCACTTGAATAATGGGCTTTTAGAACGTATCAAAAAATGTCACACAAGATTGAATGCACAGGTAGAAGTTTTGGATCAAAATAATAAGAAGGCACACTTTGCCCACTTCACATGAGAAAAATGTGTCAGTGAACAGATAATTCTTCATACACATTCTCCAAGAGGTTGGCAGCTTCAATCAAGATGGCGCATGGAATATCACAAAGACTCAGCCATGCAACCTTTCGATATAGAAGTCTGCCCAGTTTGGGTATATGGAGAACTCGAGTGTAGCGTGCCAAGAACGGCGATGCCTCCACCTTCTGTACAAAAGCATTGGAGAGGAGCACGTACGGCGAGGATCGCGTGGGGGATACGCTCCCCAGATCCATGGCTGCCCGTGCGGCCTGGTCGGCGTCACGATGTAAACCGCAAGCACTGAGTAAAGATGCGAGCTCCACTTCGTCCGGGACGAACGGCATGCTCATCGCCAGATCGATCGCGTCGCCCAGCCGGCCGATCCGGCCGTGAGGGACAGGCGATCCGGCTGCGTGGTCGCAGACTGGGTCATGGAGTGGAAGAGATCCGCGGCCTCGTCCGCGAGGCATCGATTGGAGTAGCCAGCGAGCATCGCATTGCAAGAGACTCTGTTCTTCTCGGGCATGGCATCAAACAGGAGCTTGGCCTCCTCCAGATTCTCGCGCTGGACGTAGCCACTGATGGTCGTGTTCCACGACACGATGTCGCGCTTGGGAGCCCGATCGAATCCTCTGCGCGCGTTGTTCAAGCCTAGATCGTGATCGCCGCAGTAGGCAGCGATGATCGTGTTCCAGGCCGTGATGTCCAGCCGGACCATCCGATCGAACGCGCTCTTGGCCTCCGCGATCTGGCCTCCCTGCGCGAATGCCGCGATGGGGAAAACGTGGGCGAGGAGAGATTTCTCGGGCATCTCCTGGAACACGCTCTTGACGCTCTCAGTATGCCCATTCTGGGCATACGCCTGGAGAACCAAGTTCCAAGACGCTGGATCCCATCCAGGCATGACATCGAAGAGCTCTTTAGCATCATCCACGCTGCCTGTCTCAACGAATCCCTGGATCATCGACATCCACGAGATGATGTTCTTCGTTGCGGGCATTCGATCAAACAGTGACTTTGCCTCGGAGATCCGCGATCGCAGACCCAACCCAGCGATGAGCGTGTTCCAAGCGACGCTCTCCCACGCCGGCAGCCGTTCCCGGAGGAGGAGGAGGAGCGGCTGCTGGGGGCGCACAGATTCCACGGCAACAAGTGGGCGACGATCGCGCGGCTCTTCCCGGGAAGAACCGACAATGCAGTCAAGAACCACTGGCACGTCGTCATGGCCAGGAAGTACCGCGAGCGGACGCGGACATACGGTCGATCGCCCAACGCCGCCTCCACCGGGAAGAACACCGTGACCACCGCCGTGAAATCCGATCATCCCGCGCCACCATCGCAGCAGCTCGATCACCACAATTTGCTGCTAAACAGGGGATCCACGCCGGTGCTGCTGCCGTCCAAGCGGAGCCTGGTGGACGCGGAGGATCGCCCAACAAGCAGCTCGGCAACAGCGGCGGCGGCGGCGGCGGCGTGGATGGATAGTTTCCATCATCGTGCGAGCAATTTGATGGGATTCAATCCGGGGAGGGTAGAATGCCATCATGGTCTGATATATATCGTGTGATGCCGTCAGGAACTTTGCTGGCAGGAGGATCAGCTCCGAGCTTCGCGGAGGGGTATTATGGCCGCCACCACCACCATGAGCAAAATCATCGAAACCAGCAAAATGGTGGCGGGCAAAGCAACTTACGCGACGCCTTGAGCGGCACCACGAGCAGTACCACGGATTTCACGTCCACAGACAATGCTACCGTGAAGAACAGCAGCAATGCGATTAGAAGCCGCAGCCGCCCAGCGGCAATCTCGCCAGTGACCTCCAGCTCGAGCTGTGGAAGAAGACGCAGCAGCAATTCCAGCACCAGGCTCATCTCTACCGTCTCGATCAACACCAGTAGCAACTCAGCGCGTCCAACAGTGCGATTTCGTGCATCAGCGTGGAGCAGTCTTCCCAGGACGTCGGCGACGAAGATCGCAACAAGCCCGCCCAGGATTTCATAGGTTTCCTGGGTGTCGGCGCCTGAAGAGTTTAGGGCTTAAAGAAGAACCGATGAAGTCGATCATCAAGACGCAGAAAAGAGAAAACAGTCGAGAGTTTCAAAGCGAAACTTTTGTCGCTTGCTTGTTTACACTTCTATCGGGGTTTCTTTTTCTTATAGACAGGGAAAAAACGATAAGATCAAGTTCCACTTATCCGAATCTTATTATAAGTTCATAGTCAAACTGATCAATCCAAAAGTTACAACTTATCCATACAAGTCGGGCGGGTTCATACTGATCGATCCAAAAGTCCTACGCTATCCATATCTCTCTTCGCAATCCCTGGATGGACAGAAGCTTGGACTGGATTTCACATCACTTTGTTCCTCTCGCTCGACAAGCAAGCAGAGCGTATGCAGGCCTAGGTAGCTTGCAGCAATCCATTCAAGTTCCTGCGAGATTTCCACTCACGTTTGCTTGCTTTGCTTTGCTTTGCTTTGCTCGCTCGCTTGTGCTCGCTTGGTCACTCGCGCTTACCTGTGTGTAACATTAGCAGTAAAGAGAAAGTGTGCGAGTGCTTAACAACGACCCGGCAGGCCACGGTGTGGCATGATGATGAAAGCGTTCTACGCTGCGTTTCTGCCAGGCATGTCATAGTGACATGGCCACAAATAACTCCAAC